GAACTATATATGTGAACATGATATTGTGCATGCATATATGTGAAAAGATGACATGACATATATGATTTATACATGTATGGATGTGGTGTGAAACATACATAAGGTGATCTATATTGGTGATAAGTTATTCTGGTGGAAACATTATTTTATTTAAAAACTTATACCTTCATGGTTAAGAAACCATGAATTTTATAATGAAAAACCCACCCACCCAAGATTATTTCTATTGGTTAAAGCTTTCACCGCCTTTGAGTTTGTAATAAATATCACCGCCATGGTGGGAGTATTTAAAGAAGTAAAAAAAATAAGATTTTATCTTATCATTTCATTTTGAAGAAAAATCTGTTGAAAGAGAAAAAAAGTGTTGTGAAGGTGAGAAGTGTTCTTGAACAAATCTTTTGTTCAAAGCTGTTTGAAGAGCTTGTGATTTGCTGTGTGTTTTAAAACTACAGAATATGTGATTGTTAAGGTGAATTTTTAAACTACCGTTGATTATAAACTGTGAGTTTTTGAGAACTAAAATCTTTATATTTTGTTATATAACTGTTGAGTTTTGATATTGGTTTTGAATAAAAGATGGTAAAAACTATTTTGATAGTTTAAATGTGTTATTGTTATATAGTTTAGTATTAAAAACTGTTTTGGAAAAGACAAAGAAGAGATTGCTTCTTTAAAACAGTTTTGGAAATGATATCCTGTTTTGAGGATTTAAAAGGGATATGATGTTTTTGAAAATTATTGAAAGAATAGATTGTTCTTGAGTTTGAAAGGTTTTAATAATAAAACTGTTGGTTGAAAACTATAGAGAATATTCTTTTAAGATAATCTCTGTCTTCATTTGGAATTAATCTATAGATTTTATGGGTAAAACTATGAATGAGGATTCGATAAGATGATTGTGACTGCGGTCCTTCATCCGAACTAATTCATAGATTTTGAAGAAGAAATAAGGGTGACATATCAAAGAGAGGTGTCTTTTGGAATAAGGGTGACATATCAAGGAGATGTGTCTTTTGAAATAAGGGTGACATATCAAGGAGAGGTGTACCTTTGGATATAAGGGTGACAATTATGTGTGAATATTATAACTCTTACTATTATGTCTTTTAAGACTACAATAGATTTGAGTCCTTACTTTTTTTGTGATTTGAGAACTCAAAGATATTGTTCTTATTAGAAATAATAGTATTGATGTTATTGAGAAGGGGAAAAACTTGGCCTATGGCCATTGATATTGGTAAGAGTGTTTTGGAACAAAATGGTTATTTTTATGAGGAATCAGAGGGCTCTGGTTGTTCCTTGTAAGGAACCAAAGGGGCTCTGGTTGGTCCTTATTATTGGACCAAAGGATTCTGGTTATTGATTTGGAGAATGAGCAAGT